CCATAGGGTATAAAGGGAGGGTGGGGTTTTGGTTTTTTGGGGATGGAGCCCTCGTTTAGAATTTTTTGTAATAAATTCCAAACCCTTTTGCTGGCTGGATTGTGTTTATATATATTGTCCCTTGAAGTTTTTAATGCTTTTCAAAGTGTATGAAAAAGATTTTTTCACTGTGTATCTAAGGTGAAAGTGGCACGTTTCATGGGGGGGGGGGGGGGGATGTAACTTTACTGGGAGGTTTTTTTTTTTTTTTTTTTTTTTTTTTTGTTTTACCAGCTTTTTTATGTGAAGCACAGTAGTACAAGCGGGGTTTTTATTTGAGTGCAGGCAGAGTTTTCTTATAATTTTCTTTTCAGTACTGTGTAGTCACAGTTGATTATTGTTCACTGCCTGTTCGTTTCTTTTTGATTATGTACCCATATATTTTGTACCTATTTTAAATAAAAAATAAAAAAAAAAAAATTTTGTAGACCCATCTTATTTCCCCCCAACCAAAATAACCCTTGTGATATTTGTTCGGAGCCATTAAGTGTTTCATAGCTTAATTTATTCTGTACAATGGCACTAATAACCAGTCTATTCCCTTTAGATTAATTTTTTACTTTAAAAATTTTTAGAGTGCTCTCCAGTTTAACTCTAAATGCTGTAAAACTTTTGTAAGGTGATCGGGATTTTTTAAAAAAACAATAAATCACTGTTCAAACCACTTTGTTCTATATTACCAAATGCCTTCAACAAGTAATGCTTTCCTTGTAAGAGTCTTCTTTGGGAAAGGCTTGATGATATGTGAGCATTCCTCTTTTCCCGTCCTTTGAGGGAAAATAATTTAGTTACACAGGCTAGGTCACTCCTGTCATGCACAGCTGCTTTAAAAATTGACCAAAACTTCTCCCAATTTTCTCCAGGATTAAATACAGGTAAACATAATTCTGGGAGTTTTGGCAAAGACATCTTATTTGTTGGAGCAGACTGATTAACTGCCTGGTTTACACATTTTAATTTATTCAAAGCCTGACTTTTACAAGAAAGAATTTTTTCTTCTAATTCATAATACTGATTAATCATAAAATCTACTTCAGTCTCATCTACACAGCTTACTAATAAATTTCCTTCATATTTGTTGTAATATAATTTGTATGAATCACATCTATTCCCCAAAGCATCTAAATACAATTTAAAATCATCAGTATTCAGTTTCTTGATTCATTAATTCCAAATATTTATTATATGCCTTGGTTACATGATCCTTTCTAGCTTGCAGTGATGCTTTCTTTGCTCTATATTCCATATGTTTGTCTTCTATATTAATTTCGTCATTTTCAGCCATGATGCAATGTATTAAATTCAACTTAATTAATAACACTGATTATGTACTAAATTATGCGCTTTATAAAGGTAAACAGTACAACTTACCTTTGAATGAATCCTAGCTACACTTGAGCTTTGCAATTACATGTAAGAAAATTATAATATAAATTTTAAATACACATTAATGATGTTAGTTACACTTGAGCTTAGTAATTACACATGTAAGAAAATTATAATATAAATTTTAAATACACATTAATAATGTTAGCTACACTTGAGCTTATCAAAATTAATATTATACAGATTAATATAAATCCTTGCCAGAATTTGGCATAGCAAAATTAATATTGTAATAATTATATTCCACTACACATTAAGTAAATTTGTGAACTTAACATCCACCTCCTTCTGTCATTTTACATATAATTATTAAGTAATTAACTAATTAATGACTTCACTAATTACCTCCAGTTCAAGAAGGACCAGCGGGCAAATTAAATGTGGAAAATTGCATTTATCTGGATGTTCATAAGGTACATACCAGTAAATGGTAACATAGATAATTATTATTTATCAAAGTTACTTAGACAAGTAGGAATTTGGGACACCTAGGGCACAAAAATGTCCCCCTTCGATACCTACAACTGTCATATCCACAAGTTGCTCTAGACCTATAATTACAAATGAAATGTATGTTCACACCAGGAATTCTGGTAAATATAAAAATTGGTGGACTGTATATTAAATTAATAAAGGATTATATATATACACATTTACATAACAGAAAGAGAATATATCTTAATATCACTCACCAATTTGACTGGAGATTAAGGTGTATCATACTCAGAAAACCTTACTGTCTATCCATGAAAATAACACTGGCCAGAGTTACAAACATAAACAAACTTACCTGAGGTTCCTGGAGCTGTCTTGTCCAGTCGCCTGATATCTCAAGTTATGCAGGAATGCACATCCAACAATTTCGCCTCCTATTTGGGAGGTGTCAGCCCAATTTTAACCTCTAGAGCACAAAAATTCTTCCCCTTATTCACTAACGTTTATGTCCAATTCAAACAACAATGGCGAGTCTCTTCTGTGCAGGCACAGCTTCTTCCCATTTTTTATAACATAAATTTTTATTAAATACAGCATGGCCATCTATTTACATATAACTACTGTATTTCTGATTTTTTTTTATTTTATTATCACACTGGCCAATTCCCACCAAGGCAGTGTGGCCCGAAAAAGAAAAACTTTCACCATCATTCACTTCATCACTGTCTTGCCAGAAGGGTGCTTTACACTACAGTTTTTAAACTGAAACATTAACACCCCTCCTTCAGAGTGCAGGCACTGTACTTCCCATCTCCAGGACTCAAGTCCGGCCTGCCGGTTTCCCTGAACCCCTTCATAAATGTTACTTTGCTCACATTCCAACAGCTCGTCAAGTATTAAAAACCATTTGTCTCCATTCACTCCTATCAAACACGCTCATGCATGCCTGCTGGAAGTCCAAGCCCCTCGCACACAAAACCTCCTTTACCCCCTCCCTCCAACCTTTCCTAGGCCGACCCCTATCCCGCCTTCCTTCCACTACAGACTGATACACTCTTGAAGTCACTCTGTTTCGCTCCATTCTCTCTACATGTCTGAACCACCTCAACAACCCTTCCTCAGCCCTCTGGACAACAGTTTTGGTAATCCCGCACCTCCTCCTAACTTCCAAACTACGAATTCTCTGCATTATATTCACACCACACATTGCCCTCAGACATGACATCTCCACTGCCTCCAGCCTTCTCCTCGCTGCAACATTCATCACCCATGCTTCACACCCATATAAGAGAGTTGGTAAAAACTATACTCTCATACATTCCCCTCTTTGCCTCCAAGGACAAAGTTCTTTGTCTCCACAGATTCCTAAGTGCACCACTCACCCTTTTCCCCTCATCAATTCTATGATTCACCTCATCTTTCATAGACCCATCCGCTGACACGTCCACTCCCAAATATCTGAATACATTCACCTCCTCCATACTCTCTCCTCCAATCTGATATCCAATCTTTCATCACCTAATCTTTTTGTTATCCTCATAACCTTACTCTTTCCTGTATTCACTTTTAATTTTCTCTTTTGCACACCTACCAAATTCATCCACCAATCTCTACAACTTCTCTTCAGAATCTCCCCAAGAGCACAGTGTCATCAGCAAAGAGCAACTGTGACAACTCCCACTTTATGTGTAATTCTTTATCTTTTAACTCCACGCCTCTTGCCAAGACCCTCGCATTTACTTCTCTTACAACCCCATCTATAAATATATTAAACAACCACGGTGACATCACACATTCATGTCTAAGGCCTACTTTTACTGGGAAATAATTTCCCTCTTTCCTACATACTCTAACTTGAGCCTCACTATCCTCGTAAAAACTCTTCACTGCTTTCAGTAACCTACCTCCTACACCTTACACCTGCAACATCTGCCACATTGCCCCCTATCCACCCTGTCATACGCCTTTTCCAAATCCATAAATGCCACAAAGACCTCTTTAGCCTTATCTAAATACTGTTCACTTATATGTTTCACTGTAAACACCTGGTCCACACACCCCCTACCTTTCCTAAAGCCTCCTTGTTCATCTGCTATCCTATTCTCCGTCTTACTCTTAATTCTTTCAATAATAACTCTACCATAAACTTTACCAGGTATACTCAACAGACTTATCCCCCTATAACTTTTGCACTCTCTTTTGTCCCCTTTGCCTTTATACAAAGGAACTATGCACGCTCTCTGCCAATCCCTAGGTACCTTACCCTCTGGAAAATATATACAGTATTTTCCACAGTCCGTATTATAGACCACTGACACGCCCGTGACGGATTCAGTGATGTGAGTGTCCGTATTATAGACCACTGACACGCCCGTGACGGATTCAGTGATGTGAGTGTCCGTATTATAGACCACTGACACGCCCATGATTGATTCAGTGATGTGAGTGTCCGTATTATAGACCACTGACACGCCCGTAATGGATTCAGTGATGTGAGTGTCCGTATTATAGACCACTGACACGCCCGTGATGGATTCAGTGATGTGAGTGTCCGTATTATAGACCACTGACACGCCCATGATGGATTCAGTGATGTGAGTGTCCGTATTATAGACCACTGACACGCCTATGATGGATTCAGTGATGTGAGTGTCCGTATTATAGACCACTGACACGCCCATGATGGATTCAGTGATGTGTGTCTGTATTATGACCACTGACGCCAGATGGATTCAGTGATGTGTGTCTTATTTAGACCATGACACCATGATGGATTCATGATGTGAGTGTCATTTGTGGACATTTTCACTATTTTACTATTATTATTATTATTTTATTATTATTATATTATATATATATTATATTATTACTACTACATACTATATATATACTACTATATATATACTATACTACTACTACTATACTACTACTATATTATTATTTTGGTGTTATAACACATGCAAGAGCTATACACCATTATTCAGTTATATGTGATGCTTTCAACTTATAACTATGGGGAAGACGAGTTATCTTAACTTATAACTTTGCTGAAGATAAGAGTTATCTCCACCTGTAACTATGCTGAAGATAAGAGTTATCTCCACATATAGCTATAAGGAAGATAAGAGTTATCAGGAAGGTTTTCATTTATAAAGAGTGGAGTGTCGCCCAGCGTCACTCACTAGACTGACATCCTGTACTGAAGACAAGTCTTTATGGGTGAGACCACTTTCTTCTTCTTCCAACATTGTGGGTTTATCAAGCCTTACAATGTGGGTTTATCATGCCTCACAGTGTGGGTTTATCAAGCCTCACAGTGTGGGTTTATCATGCCTCACAGTGTGGGTTTATCAAGCCTCACAGTGTGGGTTTATCATGCCTCACAGTGTGGGTTTATCAAGCCTCACAATGTGGGTTTATCATGCCTCACAGTGTGGGTTTATCAAGCCTCACAATGTGGGTTTATCAAGCCTCACAATGTGGTTTTATCAAGCCTTGCAATGTGGGTTTATCAAGCCTCAGAGTGTGGGTATATCAAGCCTCACACTGTGGGTTTATCAAGCCTCACAGTGTGGGTTTATCAAGCCTCGCGATGTGGGTTTATCAAGCCTCACAGTGCGGGTTTATCAAGCCTCAGAGTGTGGGTTTATCAAGACTCATAGTGTGGATTTATCAAGCCTCATAATGTGGGTTTATCAAGCCTTACAGTGTGGGTTTATGAAACCTCACAGTGTGGGTTTATGAAGCCTCACAGTGTGGGTTTATCAAGGCTCACAGCGTGGGTTTATAAAGTCATACAGTGTGGGTATATCAAGCATCACAATGTGGGTTTATCAAGCCTCACAGTGTGGGTTTATCAAGCCTCACAATGTGGGTTTATCTATCTCACAATGTGGGTTTATCAAGCCTCACAGTGTGGGTTTATAAAGCCTCACAGTGTGGGTTTGCAATGCCTTACAGTGTGGGTTTATCAAGCCTCAGATTGTGGGTTTATCAAGCCTCACAATGTGGGTTTATCAAGCCTCATAGTGTGGGTTTATCAAGCCTCACAATGTGGGTTTATCAAACCTCACAGTATGAGTTTATAAACCTCACAGCGTGGTTTACAAAGCCTCACAGTGTGAGTTTATCAAGCCTCATAATATGGGTTTATCAAGCCTCATAGTGTTGGTTTATCAAGCCTCACAATGTGGGTTTATCAAGCCTCAGAGTGTGGGTTTATCAAGCCTCACAATGTGGGTTTATCAAGCCTCGCAATATGGGTTTATTAAGCCTCGCAATGTGAGTTTATCAAAACTCACAGTGTGGGTTTATCAAGCCTCACAGTATGGGTATGTCAAGGCTCACAGTGTGGGTTTATAAAGTCTGGTGTGGGTGTATCAAGCCACACCAGACTCACAGTGTGGGTTTATAAAGTCTGGTGTGGGTGTATCAAGCCTCACAATGTGGTTTAATCAAGCCTCACAATGTGGGTTTATCAAGTCTCACAGTGTGGGTTTGTCAAGCCCCCACAGTGTCGGTTTATCAAGCCCCCACAGTGTCGGTTTATCAAGCCCCCACAGTGTCGGTTTATCAAGCCCCCATAATGTAGGTTTATCAAGGACATGTGTGTTATTACAGTGTTGTATTATTCAACAGTACTGCGCTGAACCCATCTTGTGTGCTGAGATGACTTGTACAACTCTCAGCAGTGAATACATTCCAGCTTCAAATACAGAAACAACTCTGAGCACCTCGAAGTTATGAATCGACCCTTGAGTTAACAGTTACGAGATTAAGAGTCTTTTCCATACTTTGTTTAAATGGTTTAGCAGATTAACAGGTTTATGACTGAGACACTTAGTCAACATTTGGGAATAGTACTTGTTTTTGAAAGATTTCGCCAGCCAGTGGTTTCTTTAGTCCAATGTAGAGAAGAAAAGTGGAAGATGAGGAAGAATTTGAGGTACTGATTATCTCAGATTCTTTCTCATCTTCCACCGTTCTTCTCTATATTCGTCTTGTCAATACATTTACTTTCTACTCTCAGGTCCCCTGGCAGCAGCGTGGTTTATGATGCTGCTAGCACTAGCTGCAGCATCACCTAGATTCACGTCTCAGAAGCAAGCAGCACTGGGAGACGCGCTACCGTCTCATCTGGCTTCTGAAGGAGTTGCTTCACTAAGAACAGTCCTCCAGCAGCGCCTACACAGGCCAGCACAAGGACCTGAAGATACTTTGCAGTCTCACAAAAATGTTACAGGTCTGTAGTAATAGTAGCATTAGTAGTAGTGGATTATCCTAGGTTCTCTACACATATGCTATGTATGATAATCTATGTAACTATTTGTTGGTTTAGAAAAACACATAAGCAAACACTAGGACATATTTATTAGAAAACGTTTCGGTCCTGGGACCTTGATCACTTCTAACGTACAGAGGTTGAAAGACGGAGAGTAAGGTGTGACACATGGTGACCTGAAGAATGCCATATTGGGATGAGGACGGGTAGACGATGAGATCATGTGACTCCTGTGTTGCTAGGTAGGTGGTGCTTTGCCTGGTTGAGTATCATGGATGCTAATGTTTTAGAAATTTTCTGGTTTCCAGTGTTACGTTCAATTGTGTCGGTGACGTCGATTAGCTAGGCTTCCAGACACCGCCGGCGTCTAAGGTCTTGTTCGGTGAGAACGAATTGTGCCTCATCCCAGTTCATCAAATGCCCTGTGGAGTCTCTGTGGAGGACACAGGTGTACCTTAAATTGTCTCTGTTACTTGCATTTCGATGCTCGTTCAGGCGGACCACAAGATCTCTGCCTGTTTTGCCTACATATTTCTTGGGACAGAATCCACAGGGGATGGGTGACTCGGTGGCCTGGTGGCTAAAGCTCCCCGCTTCACACACGGAGGGCCCGGGTTCGATTCCCGGCGGGTGGAAACATTTCGACACGTTTCCTTACACCTGTTGTCCTGTTCACCTAGCAGCAAATAGGTACCTGGGTGTTAGTCGACTGGTGTGGGTCGCATCCTAGGGGACAAGATTAAGGACCCCAATGGAAATAAGTTAGACAGTCCTCGATGGCGCACTGACTTTCTTGGGTTATCCTGGGTGGCTAACCCTCATGGGTTAAAAATCCGAACGAAATCTTATCTTATCTTATCTTATGGTGTAGACGCCTGCTGTGGAAGTTAGAGGTGTGGGGTTCCGTTTCGTAGTGAGGTCTTTGATAGATGATGTGTTTATGGTGGAAACATATGTGTTACTCTTAGCAATTGACCGGCGAGTATTCGTGGCAACATCACCACATGGGAGCACTATTAACTGATTAGAGGGCTGTTCCATGGGCGGCTTGTTGGGGATAGCTTGTACCTTGAGTGTCTGCAATCTCAGATGAAGAAAGATGGAAACTGAAGATGTGTAAAGGCTTGTGTTACGTAAGTACATTCTTCTTCAAGAAAACAAGGGCTAGAGGTGCGAAGAGTTCTCAAGAAGAAGCCAACGAGGACTTCTCTTTTACTGCAGGTGTCTTAGTGTGAATCGAAGTGTAAAAGATCGTCCATGTTAGTAGGTTTTCTACACGCTTTGAAGAGAAGTTTATCATTGTCGGGAGATCTGCACAGGAGGACGTCGAGGAAAGGAAGTTTGCCATCTTTTTCGAGTTCAAGTCTAAACTTTGTTGTTGAGGAGGTCCTGGATATTGAGACGTCTCGGATAGAAAGCCAATATGTTATCAACGTATCTTAGCCAGGTAACGGTGTTGGGAATGAAGGTGCTGAATTTCTCTGTCTCTAGGTTTTCCATGAAGAGGTTGGCAAGCACAGCACTGAGCGGGCTGCCCATTGCCATCCCAAAGCACTGTTTGTAACAGTTGTCCTGATACTTGAAGAAGTTGAAATTAACACACAGATCCACTAGACTGATGAAATCTGGAAGAAGTTTATAGCAGCATGTTTATAGCAGAATGTTTATAGCAGCATCAGTAGGAACGTTGGTAAAGAGGGCTGTTACATCGAAGGAAGCCATGCTTTTGTTTTTAACATTCAAGTTGGAAATTCGAGAGAGGTCACCTGAGTGTTTGAGGTGCACTTAACTGATGGTGCTCAGCTAATCTGTGTGGTGCACTCCCTATGCCCGAAGTGACACGACGTAGTGGGATGCCAGGCTTATGCGTCTTAGGAAGGCATACAGGCGTGCTGGTTTCAGTTGACCTGGTAAAAGTTTATGTAGTTTGTTGCCTTGTTTAGATTTTCCTAAGATGCCTTTTAAAGAAAAGTTTGGGTGCTTTGTAGTAACACTGATTCTGAAACACGCTGGTATGTATTGGCATCACTGAGGGAATTTAAAACTTTATTGTTGTAGTCGAGTGTTGAGTAACACCACACCTCCTCCTTTGTCAGAGGCGGTAATGATGATATAATGGTTGTTAGCCGAGTCCATGAGTGCTTGGATATATCTTCTGGGAATGATCGGTCTTGAAGGCTCAGCTGCAGCAGTGATAATTCCTTGAACGAAACTCTTATGAAACTCGGAGTCCTTAAAAGGTTGGTTCTTGGTTACCATGTCCACTACATGATGTTTCTTATTGATGCCGGTGGTGAACTTGAGCCCCAAGCTGAGGGCTTCTGTCTCGGTGGCGGTTAATGTATAGGAAGATAAATTATTTATGACTGTTGGTCGTCCCATTTCGCTCCATTTGCTGTGGGAGAACAGATATTGTAGTTTTCGTGATAGCTTCAGTTTTTTTTTTTTTTTTGGATGTTGACAGTGGTAGTTTGGCTGAGTATATATTCTGCCGTTCTTCTGTCAGGAATGGGAAATGAAGCACGAATCTGAGCGGCACGTAATGAAGCCTCCTTCTGAGCATATTGTATGTGGTGAGGCAAGTGAAGAATTCCCTGTGTCTGACAGGAATAGTTAGGCAAGTGAATGCAGATGAATGGAATGGTTAGGAATGGTTAGGCAAAGAATGTAGATGAATGGTTCTCTGAACCATTCATCTACATTCCTGTCAGACGACAACATCTGGAATTACGCTCATTGGGAGGCTGAACACTGACTCTCGAAACATTTCTGATTCGCAAGTTTCCCTTTTCCACATTTCTGGAAATCTTCTTCCGTAACGGCGTCCACACGGTCTGCGATTCTGTTTGAGTCTCATCCACGTCAATAATACGCTGCCCCTTGGGCCCCAGTTTTATGTGTCGTAAGAGAAAGAAGTCACAAGGGGTTAGATCTGGGGAGTAGGGAGGGTGGGGGACGACAACCATGTTGTTTTTGGCTAAAAAACGATAGTCTTTTTGGCCTTGAGTCAGACAGCAAGACAGATTTCGCAATTACTCGCCTCATTTTGAAATTTTCAGTCAAAATGTATTGACACGACCCATTTTGTCAGCACTTTGTATCTTACGGGTAACTCTTCACTGTATCAGAACACCGTATTAGGCAGTCTAACGTCTTCTGTACTTAATATATTATAACTTCTAAAATTAACATAACGTGTAAAAATTCTCCATGATGGAATTTGAGTGACGTCCAAAACCACAATCTGACCTCCATATATGATGATACATAGCAGGTCCAGCGATGTATAATAATAATAATAATAATAATAATAATAATAATAATAATAATGATGTGATAATAAGAATAAGAATAAGAATAAGAATAAGAATATATATTTATTTCTATAAGTACACGTACAAGGTGAAAGTTAAGTAACATGTGCAACATCTGGTTGTTTTTATTGTAGACGTTTCGCCATCCAGTGGCTTTAATAAAGCCACTGGATGGCTATTGTTGGTATTGTATACCTTTCTTGCACATGTACAAGGTATACAGGCCTAGCTGACATCAGTGACATACTGCTATATAGAAAGCCGCAAAGCATTTCGAGAAAATTAGGTCAATTTTGTCCCGGGATGTGACCCACACCAGTCGACTAACACCCAGGGAGCCGCAGTCGTTGACTGATGGGTGAACATAGACAACCGGTGTAAGGAAACACACCCAATGTTTCCACTCTTTGCCGGGAATCGAACCCGGACTGTCAGCGTGTGAAGCGATAGCTTTTACCACCAGGCCACGAGGACTACGAGGCTTACAATAAGAGAGGTTTTCACTGAGCGTTACTTCAGTACGTATCTGCGTATTTGTGGGATGCATGTGAACATATATCGTGTCTCGTATGTTTAACAAGTTTAGAATGTTTTCTCGCTACACGATTGTCAAAGTTACAAATTCACATGTAAGTTAGCGAGATTGTAAAAAATTTAGCGGCAGCTGACATTCGTACATTCTGTGGGTAAATTCAATAGTGTGTAAATGATAATACTTGTAATATTGTGGCTGTATATCTAGTGTTTATGTAGCTTACATTTTTATCTTGAGTGACATTAATAGGTTGTTTGGTGTTTAGCTGTTAGGAGAATCTATATCTCTAGATAGATTACATACCTACTACGACCGTAAGATGCTTAATAAAAAGAGGTACATACATAAATACGTACTACATGCTTAATAGCAAACATAGCCTTATATCACTACCTGCCACTAGTTTACAAATATACATCAGTAACACTATACAGTTTAATCTTCACGTAAATCTCCTAAATCTGTGGCATATTAAAGCCAGACAGACTTTATAATATGTTACACATGGAAACATCAACCAACATGTCATGCAACATGTGTGTGTTTTCTAATGGTTGACGCTTCATAAGGTAGACATCAACACTAGTGTGTCCAATTGTTTGGTCTTTGTGGCCTTGATGGGTACTCATCAACACTAGGGACGCATGTGTGTGTTCCCAGTGGGCTGGCCTTGATGGGTAGTTCATCATAGGTGTTAATATCTCCTTTAAATCCCCCCCCAAGCTGGTGTCTTGCAGATGTACTGGTCGCCCTGCTGGCTTCTGTCCATACAAATCTTTCATGTCCATTCACTTGGTTCAGTGTATTCAGTCGGGGGTAATTAACCCCCTTCTTTTTTCGGGGGTAGATAAAAAGTGGGTAATTGACATGAAATTACAATCGTCTAGAGTGCAACCCCCTTATCCAAGAGAACATTAAAAGGCCCTACCAAAACTGCGGATAGTAGCGAACCCTATAAATAAGTCGTGTTTCATTTACATACTTATTATAAAGTCGAATCGAATCGAAGAAGACGACGAGAGCTGTCGTGAGATGGGAAGGAAGAAGGATAAGAAAGGATGGAAAAACTGGAAAAGGATGGGAAGGAGGGGAAGAGGAGGAATCAAGGCTCT